ACTTAAAAAAGTACTTTTGCCAAACTCTTAACAAAGCAGCCCTTATTATATGATTTCTAAAAGTTTTATCAATCTTTTTCTGCATAAAAAGATAAGCATGCCACCCAAAGTACAAGTCCCATCCTTCAACGTTCAATATCCTTTTGTTGGACAAGTTAATCCAATCCGTCATCCATGTTAATGCACAAGAATCATAATAAAGTGTCAAGTTTGGTGCTTTAAGTCCTCCACGTTCTCTAATGTCTTGAATAATCTTAAATCTAACTCTGGCTTTCTTGCCTTCCCAAATGAGATTTTCATTTTTTAATTCTTCTAATTTTTGGTCAACCTCTGTTGATTTAATCTTCTATTTTTTGAATCCTTTGTTCATTTTTTGTGACCATCTGTTTAAAATTTTCAAATTGAGAGTCCATATTATTAATTTTTTGGTTCATTTTATCAAGGTCATTTTTCGTCTCATCATGGTTTTTTGTTGTAGCTACCATATGGGTGGCAATTGCCTCTTGGATTGCTTGTAGTGTCACTTGTGTCTCTTTCTGGAAGTTGTTAGTCTTTTCTTGTTGAAGCATTGTATCAATTGATCTCTGATAGACTGGACTTGCAGAAGCAGAGGAAGGGGCAGAGAGTACTTTTTTTTGCCAGCTTTAGTTAAATTCGTTTTGTTCCTCGCCCTCGAATCTTTTAATCATACTTTATAATCCACCAAGTAGTTCAAAATTGATAGTCTCTTTCCAATTTGAAATTAAAAATTTGTAATCCAATAAGCTCCAAACAAATAGGAGAGGTAAAAAGAATCACTCTGTCTCAAATCAGCTTGTAAGATTCAAAGTCAAGCTGTATTTATAATCCAAGGAAGTCAGATGACTTCAAAGCAATTTGTACTTTTAATTATAATCCATCCTGTAGAGAAAAGCACCCCAAAGAGATTCTTCTCTTTTTCCAGCCACAATCTCCAGAACTGTAGATTTCAGGGACATCAAAGGGTTTAGTCCAGTGATGGTGAACCTTTTAGAGACCGACTGCCCAAAATCTGGCCCCGCCACTGCTCCACCCCCTGCCCGCCCCCACCCCACCTGCCCACAGGGCCACTCACCACCTCCAGGGCCCGCTGCAGATTGCCCAGGCGGCCTAGCAGCACCATTGCGGCCATGCCCTCTGCCCACACCCCGCAGCATCAACTGTGCGCGATGGGGTGTGAGGGCAGAGTCTTGTCTACACTGCCTGGCTGCCATGTCCTTGGCTGCGCTGCTCTGTGTGGGCAACGCTCGGGGGCAACTCTCCTCCAGGGAAGCTGCTGGTGAGGAGGGGTCACGGGAGGAGGCAAGGGTGGGGCAACGGCACTTGTGCCCACAGAGAGGTCTCCAAGTGCCGCCTCTGGCACACGTGCCATAGGTTCGCCACCACTGGTTTAGTCTGTAAACTGTGTCTGGGCGTCTATCCAAGTTTTGACACTCCAGCCACAATATCTAGATAAGGTTAGCAAGCAAGGCTAAGTGTAGTTCTTAGTTTTGCCACTAGATGTCATTAGATGTCCATTTTGTATTTTTCCAACCAAACTTTATAAAGTTTACAAAGTTATAGTTCGATGCTTTCCAATAAAAAAGTGAAAGGTTTATGAATATTAAAGCTCCCCAAAGTATTCTTCTTCTGTCCCACTCAATTATCTCCACAATAGTGTTGTAAGTTACTTTATTTTCCCCCAGAGGCTTAAACCGCCACTTCTATTCAGGAGGGAAAAGTAAAAAAAATCTCCCCCTCCCTTTAGCTTTGGGGATTTCTTGCTTTCGGGGACTTTTTTCCAGAACAGGTTTTTCAGTTGTAGAAAGATAAGGAAGATAATCTCACCCAGATCAGCTGTTTTGCTATTGTTTGGTTGTAGTTGTTTTTCCCAGCAGTCAGCAGCTTCTGGCTGGCAGCATGAGTGCAGTCAGCCTTTCTTCCTGCCGGTCCAGGGCCTTCCTTGGATTTTTCTGGTCTTCACCATCCAACACTCTTTGACTGACAGGATGTGCAGCATTCATACCCATTCTGCAATTCTCCTTTTTTATTTGTGTAGAAGACTTTTCTCTATCATTGTGTTTGTTATTTATGCACTTACTTGATAGCTTTCTCAAATCTTACTGAAATGTTTTATTTATTTTTTCAGGTGAAATTATTTACAGGCAAACCGACAGCGATGGCTGCCTTTATTTCGCCATTTGTGGTAGAACATGTTCTGTTGAAAGATATAAAGGGCCATGTGTATCAACTACACCCAGACCCACATCAACTCCCACAATAGTCTCCACCACTCCTACTACGAATACTGCTGGTACTACTCCACCATCAGGCTGTCCTGATGCTATTCCACCACGGGAGGTAGGGTGTTGGTTTATTTTTTTTTGTAATCTTTGATCATCATGTTTTCAGTGTAATGTGTTTTTCAGGGATATGTTGGATGTTTTTAGCCAGGGAAGAAGAAATTAATCTTTTTCCATTCCAAATGTGATTATTGGAGATTTATGTCGCACATGGCACTAACCCGATCTGGAATCTCAGAATCCCTCTTTTCCTTCATAAATCTCTAATCATAAGTATGCTATAAAGGCAAGGCATTACGAGGAATTATGTGAAACAAACATGAACTGATTCAAATTACAATTTCTGAACAGAAAGCAAGTGAAATCTCATTTTTTTAAAAAGTTGCTATTACCTGGAAGGGTGTTTGTTTGTTTATCACATTTTAGAACCACCTATCTGCCTCACAGTACACCACTTTGCTGATACTAAGAAATTTTGTACAGCAAAATGTATTGTATTAAAATATAATTGCTTGCAAAATATATGTTTCATGAAGATTACATGCAGAAAAGCTAATTCGGATAAAGTAAATATACCAATTGCTACCATACATACATACATACATACATACATACATACATACATACACACACACACACACATACACACACACACACATATATGCACGATGGAAACATAAAGTTGAAGAAATAGGATACTGACTCAAAATGTGCTAAGCATTTGTCTTTTTCCCCTTTTCTCTCCAATTCCTTTTCCCCACCACCACCCACAGAATTACATGTTAAGCTATGCTATAATGTAACAGTATAGTTGAAAGAACAATTAAAGACACACCCACACACTTTGCCAATTAATTAAATCTTTTCTGACTGACATCAGTGACAGTCATGGAATTTAGCTTTTTATCAGGAAGTCATATAATCGTGGTGGTGAACCTATGGTACACGTGCCACAGGTGGCACGCAGAGCTCTCTCTGTGGGCATGCGCACTGTTACCCCAGTCCTAGGCCTTCAGCTGGGTTTTATAAAACCTTTTCACTTTAGGCCTCCACCACCGTATGCAAAAAAAAAAAAAAAGATTCAATCAATCAATTTCAACTTCTCACGGAAAAAAAGATCTCACAAAGTTGGAATTGATTGATTGAACTTTTTAGTCCCACCCAGTCTGCCGTTATCACTGAAGTCACGCCCACCCAATGAGTCATGCCTACCCAATAGGCTGCGTCCACCCGGCACCCGACGATACATAAGTGGGTTTGGGGTTGCAGTTTGGGCACTCAGTCTCTAAAAGGTTCGCCATCACTGTCATATAGTATACTATCCCTAGGAAATACGTTTTTTAAACCAGACGAAGGAGAATTAAAGCATATTCTAAAATTCCCTGGATAGCTTTTGCCAAATACCATTCACAATGTACTCATCGAATATATCATATTTAGCGCTACCCCCGAAAGGGCCGCTGGAGTCTGGGTTCTCCTGGCCCTCTTGGGCTGGCTGCTGGTCCACAGTGGTCCCTCACATAGGTACCTCTACTTGGTACCTACGTGAAGTACATGATGAGGTGGTGGTCAATCTCTTTTGGCAGACAGGTCATGTGATGTGGTGATGGTCAGTCTCTCTTAGCAGGCAGGTCACGTGCAGGGAAAGTGTTCAGGTGGCTGGTCAGCTCTTCTTCTTCTTCTTCTTCTTCTTCTTCTTCTTCTTCTTCTTCTTCTTCTTCTTCTTCTTCTTCTTCTTCTTCTTCTTCTTCTTCTTCTTCTTCTTCTTCTCTCTCTCTCGCTCTCTCTCTCTCTCTCTCTCTCTCTCCCTCCCTCCTTCCTCCCCCCCTCTCTCTCAGGCTTGCCCCATAGAAGCCTCTCCTATCCTATCCCCTTCTCTCCCTCAGGCTTGCCCCATAGAAGCCTCTCCTATCCTAACCCCTTCACTCCCTCAGGCTTGCCCCATAGAAGCCTCTCCTATCCTATCCCCTTCTCTCCCTCAGGCTTGCCCCACAGAAGCCTCTCCTAGCCTATCCCCCTCTCTCCCTCAGGCTTGTCCCACAGAAGCCTCTCCTAGCCTATTCCCTTCTCCCTCAGGCTTACTTCCTAAAAGCCTCTCGCATTCTCCCCTATTCTCTCCTCTCCCAGGCTTATCTTCCCCAAACTAGGCCTCAGCAGACTCAACTCCTCCCTGCCCGCCCCTGACTCCTCCCCCAGGCATCTCCCCATACTGTCTCTTCAGCTCACCCTACCCATACTACACATATTTTTAAGAGACTTAAAAGGATAGATGCATAGAATTGGAACAGAACATGTAGAGATAATCTACTTCAATTGCCTGCTTGGTGTCAGATCCATTAGAGTGAATCTGATCATCTAATCTGTGATTGAAAACTTCCAGAGAAAGTCAAGAGAGCCTCTTCTGCTGGCTGACACTTGTACAGGCAGTTTCTCTTGATGTCTCCTGAATCTACTTCCTTGTAGTTTACCCATTGATTCCAAATTGTCTTGCCCTCTGGAGCAATAGGGAATAAATTCACTCCCTTTTCATTATGATATCTCTTCAGATACATAAAGACTTCTGCCGTATATTAAACCTGTCTTATCTTTTAGCCAGATCCCTCACTATCTGAATTCATTCAAATTTGTCATATCAGATTTGAATTGAAGTGCCAGAGTTTGACACAGTACCAAGTGAGGTCTGACCAGGGCACAGTGGAGAGGAACAATAACTTTCCTTCATCTAGGCCTACTACGTAGTTGTTTTCTGCTATATTACAACAGAAAAGCAAGTGGTATGCTCTCTGAAATAACTACCCAGGGCCAAAGACTTTGTCTGAAGCCTCTATTCTCAAAACAAAGGACTAAGCAGCCTTGGATAAACAATACCTTATTATTCTGCGGAAAGAGTTACTCTCAGTATGAGGGAATTGAGGAGTGGCATCATCTGAACACTATTGCCAACTAACCATTTTATTTGATGCTATAAAAACTGGTATAAATCAAGAAACAAAGGAAATTTATGCTTGATATAGGGATAATTTTGCAATTAAGTACAGGTAGTCCTTGCTTACTGGCCACTTGTTCAAAGGCCATTCAAAGTTACAACAGCACTGAAAAGGAGACTTTTGACTGGTCCTCAAATTATTACAGTCATGTGATTGCAATTTGGGTACTTGGCAACTGTGGATGGGGTTCAATTAAGCTTGTATATTATATATATTTTTAAAAACTATTTCAATGTGATGTTTACAGGCACCAAACTAGAAACTGGGAGAGTATGAATTCTAATCCTGCCTTAAACACAAAGCCACCTGGGCTTTGTGACTGGACCAGCTCTCTCTCTTAGCTCTAGAAAGGAGCCAGGAGCAAAACACTTCCCAAAAAAAATCTAGCCAAAAAAATTGCAGGGATTAGTCCAGGCAGTCATGAGGAGTCAAGACTGACTTGGCACAATACACAGTATTGTATTTTATAGGCAGTAACTTTTAATTAGTATTTATTACTTCATTTAAAAGAAATCCTGGCACTAAGTCCCGTTTTTCTGGGGTGATGGTGGTGGGGTGATAAGAATTTATGCTTACTTGGGGGGGAAAGAGTTTTCCAGCTAGAATTGGCAACCCAACATTGACAAAGAAGGATAGAAGGGCATCATATGGAATTTTTATCTATCTATCTATCTATCTATCTGTCTATCTATCTATCTATCTATCTATCTATCTATCTATCTATCTATCTATCTATCTATCTATCTATCTATCTATCTATCTATCGCTCCTGTCTACTCTTCTTTTTGGAATGGGATCATCTTAAAACCAGGTTTGTCATTCTTTGGGGTTTACTTTGCCTGGTGAGCTTGGTTCCTATTTCATGTTTATCAATCTGATCAGGAGATAGAAATGTTTTAAAAGATCTGAACTTTGGATGCTGAGGTAAAACTTTACAAATGTCAAATTCCAGACATTCCACTTAAGAACAGAAATGTTATGCAACTCAGAGAGCTGCAAATAATGCTTTGAACTGATGCAGAATTAGTGTTTAATGGGAAGTAGGATATTATAAATAAACCTTGTATACATCATGTCAAATTATCTATATCTGGCATTTACTTAAACAGAATGTCATCAGATGGGGAAATATTTTTCCAAGAAGTGTCTCCTCCCTAACAAGCTTGTTTAAAGAAAGGAAAGTAAGGATCCTGACATCAAGATTTTTTCTGAATTAAGTTACAAAATATAGGAACCAAAAGTCAAATCTGAGTTAAACAGGACAAAAATGATCTCTTCCCACTTTATTATCCATGAAGCATAATTTAATGTATGAAATATATGAATACATGCATAGAGGTTTGTTGGGTCAAACTGTAAACAATTTTTTTCTACTCTCAGGAGGGTGAGACATGGATAGAAAATTGCACAAAAGCAACTTGTTTAGGAAACAACAACATTGTGATAAGTAAAGTGGAGTGTCCACCAGTACAGAATATTGTGTGTGAAAATGGCTACCCACCAGTAAAAGTTCTCTCAAAGGATGGATGTTGTTATCACTATGAATGTGAATGTAAGTTCAAATGTTATTTCTGAATGGTTTTGTGGTAATAATGTGGTTTGATCAGCTTTTGATAGTATATGAGTTATTTCACTCATATTAATCTCTGGGTACAGTATTTTTTAAAATCCTAATTGTCGCCTGTTTTTCCTCTAATTTATCAGGTATTTGCACTGGCTGGGGTGATCCTCACTTTATCACATTTGATGGAGTCTACTACACTTTCTTGGACAAATGCACTTACGTATTGGTGCAGCAAATCATACCAAACTATAATAACTTTAAAATCCTTCTTGATAATTATTATTGTGATACAGAAGATCAACTTTCCTGTCCCCAGTCTATTATTATACACTACAAATCTTCAGTCATTGTGTTAACTCGCCAATACTTGAATGGGATAGAAGCTAACAAGGTAAAATTTGAATGTGAGATCCATTGCCATTCATATGCAGAATAATAACCTTCACTCATTCCTCAAAATTCTCTAGAACAAATCTGGGACATGTGTCAGGTATTTCAGGGGGGTGAGAACTTCTCCTGTGCAAATGGAAATCTTCTCACATAAGGCCACAAGTAGCACCATTTAAAATGTTTCAAGTTTCTTTAGTATAATGCAACCCTAGGCTTGCTTATTCAGAAATAAGCCCTTTGAGTTCAAAATATTTTTCTGAATAAGGAAGTGCAGTGTAGGTAGTCCTCGATTTACAGCAGTTCATTTATTGGCCATTCAAAGTTACAACGGTACTGAAAAACGTGACTTAGGACTGTTTTTCACAGTTACGACCTTTGCAGCTTCCCAACGATCATGTGATCAAAATTCAGATGCTTGGCAGCTGGTTCACATTTATGACCATTGCTATGTCCAAAGGTCATGTGATCACCTTTTGCGACCTTCTGACAAGCAAAGTCAATGAGGAAGCCAGATTCACTTAACAACCAGCTAGCTTATCAACTGCAATGATTCACTTAACAATTGAGGCAAGAAAGGTTGTAAAATGGAGCAAAACTCACTTAACAAATGTTTCACTTAACAACATAAATTTTGGGCCCAAGTGTGATCGTAAGTACCTGTATTCTCATGTATTAATGTCTAGAAAATAGTGAGATTTGTTTAAGCTATTAGCTATTAGCCATCAATTAATGAAGTTAAAGATGCAGTATGTTTATCTAGAGATCTGAGTGGAGATGCACAGAACCTATATTTTTGGAAAATCGGTAGAGGTATTCTTGGGTGCTTATGGGGAGGGCAAGTCATGACAAGACATGTGTTATGTCATTATAGTGTAACCCAGATCACAGGCCATATCATATTCTTCATTCTTTTGAGGGAGCATCTGCCAGATAGCTGGTATCTGGCAGAGAGGAGAGGTAGAAAAGCTACCGTTCATCTGTAATGGAGATCAGATTGAAATCAATTTATCGAACAGTGAAGAACACTGAAGAATTTAGTATGGTTACTTTTATGAATCATGAAAGAAGATGTAATAGTAGTAGCAATAGTAGTAGTAGCAGTAGGAAGAAGAGGAGGAGGAGGAGGAGGAGAAAGAGGTGGCACACGAGCATTTCAGAATGTATCTAATGGCTGAGACACACCAAATTGTAAACATGCATAAATGGATTCATCTTAAGTCTATAACAATCTCAAAACGATAGCATGCAGATAAAAGAAAGAATTGATATTTCTTAAATTGAATACCTAATTATTGGTTTTATTAAGAAATATAGCCATGTAAAGTTAGTTTTGCATAAAAGTGCACAAAGCATTCTTATACATAATAATTATGGTATATTATAAAAATTTAAGAATTATGTACTACTTATTTGTTTGCTTAGAGGTGCAAAGATACAAATAATTAAGGTCAATCAAACTCTTAAAGCAGGTTCAGGTTCACAGTGATTCCTGGAAAAAAAGAGGATCTGTTTTAGTGAAGCACCTCACCTCATCTGAAGCACCTCTTAGTATAAGTCACAAGCATAACTAGATCCATATGGCCTTTCCTAGCAGATGTATGTCTTACATCCTTGGAAAGCCACCTCAGTAGAGGGAGCCAGCCTCCATAAGATTTTCTAAGGTTACATGCACATTAAGGTCAAGTAATTTTATTTTAAAATGCATATTTCTTAATTAATAAATGGAATAAGCAAATCCCTCCAAAATGTGTAGATAATTATTTTTAACATGTGGGTGCATTACTTTTTTTAAAGTATGGGTAATCAATTTTTTTCTGATACAAAATTGCTCTCTGATGCAAAATTATTCTTCTATGCAGATTTATTTCAATGGGAAAGTCATCAAGGCAAGTTTCCATAAAGATGATATTTCTATCTACACAATTGGCATTAATATGGTGGTTGAAATGGCTGAAATTGAAACTATTGTCACCTATAGTGGTGTAGTCTTCTCAGTAAAAGTTCCATTCAGCAAGTTTAACAACAATACTGAAGGACAATGTGGTAAGAAAAATGTTTTAATCCCATCAAAGCTTTTCTTATTCCGTGCAATATTTGCAAATTCTTATGCATTTAAAGTAGCTGAAACAATACTTTATATATTTGCTCTTAGAAAAATGCTTGTTTCTCTGGTAAACTCTTGACTCTCTTGTCAAAAGTCACTTATTGTTCATTCAACCTGGATATTAGAACTTCTAATTACTGATGTAAATAAAAATGGAAAAATACATTATTTATCTCAAAAGAAATGATATTTTTTTCCAGGAGTATTCAGTAACATAGTCTAGAACAGTGATAGCAAACCTTTTAGAGACTGAGTGCCCAAACTGCAACCCAAAACCCACTTATGTATCGTCGGGGACTGGGTGGGTGTGGCCCATTGGGTCAGTGTGGCCAATTGGGTGGGCGTGGCTGCAGTGGTAAGGCCAGACTAGGTGGGACTAAAAAGTTCAATCAATCAATTCCAACTTTGCGAGATCTTTTTTTTTCCCGCAAGAAGTTGAAATTGATTGATTGATTGATTGATTGAACCTTTTATTTTTTTGCACACAGAGGTGGAGGCCTAAAGCGAAAAGGTTTTATGAAACCCAGCTGAAGGCCTAGGACTGGGGCGACGGCGCATGCGCCCACAGAGAGGGCTCTGTGTGCCGCCTGTGGCACGTATGCCATAGGTTCGCCACCACGGGTCTAGAAGCTTTGGAAGCAGAACTACAGGGTGTCATAGTTAATTAGACAATAGCTGCCTCCTTCTCTAACACATGATACAGAGTGCAAGTTCTCTTCCTATTTTCTTTCAAAAATCTGTTTTTCTCCTGCTTTTATATCAGCTCTTGCAAACAACTGCAGAACACCTTCCTTTGCTGCGAAGTACAGTGTGTTTCAAAGTTACCATCACTTTTTAAGTTGTCTGTTGGCAGAAGAAAGTCCAATGCTATTTATTGAAGAAGGGAAACTCAAGCTGGAGAGTGTTTCAATAGCATTGTGAAACTGAGTAAGGAGCTAAAACAGATTGGATTCATGATATCTGATTTTCCCAAGGGATAGATGGATTTAAAAAAAAAAATCCATCTCACCCCTATGTGTCTTCCTCAATATTATGTCCTCTACTAGAGGCTGTCTTTTGATCTACTACCATGATGTCTGATTAATTGGCCAACACCTACTTGTCCATCTGGATCTGAAAATCCCACAGGATCTTAGCCCTGTTATTCTCCTCAGCCTTCTATGGCATCTCCCATCTGGACTTGGAAAGGTCTAGCCTATACACTATGCAGACCCAGTGAATAGTACCAGCTATTTGTTTGTGCCATTCAGTGTATGCTGTTCCTGCCTGCATCTTACACCCTGCCACTATACGTTGGACTGAGGCCTCTCTGTATAGTCTGTACTTCAGGTCCTGCCTAGTGAAGTAGACCCCTGCTTCTATATATCTGGTGCTTAGTACCTGTTCTTGTGCTGCTATGATCACTACCTCAGTGCTGTCTTTTAGTCGAGCCCTTGCCAGCCACTGGCTGTCTTTCCCAATGTCTGCCACTTCAGCTATCTGTTGATGGTACAGCCTATACCAGGTGTTACCTTGGCAAGGCATTTCCTCTGCCTGATCTTTCTTCCACATCTTCTGCTGCCTGTGGCCATTCTGGTACTTTTACTTCTTCCATACTTGCAAGATGTGTTGTCTGCTTAATTGGCCTGAGATCACAAATGTTTTATTTTCATGTTATTTTCCCAAGGTACTTGCACTAACAATAAAAAAGATGAATGTCGCTTACCAAATGGTGAAGTAACAGATTGTCCCCACATGGCTACCCATTGGAAAGTGCCTGATCCTAAAAAAGATTACTGCTTTGGACCAACACCATCTGTACCACCTGACACTGTAACACCTTCACCTGGACTATGTGGCCTAGCTCCTCTCTGTTCCCTTATTTTGAATGAGTAAGAGAGAAATTATTTTATATTTATTTTTGCCATTCAGTGAATCTAGATACTCCTAAAACATTTGTTTCATTATCTTTAACCTAGCAAAACACTACACCATAGAACAGTTTTTGAACCAAGGTATCTCAAATGTGATAAATTACAGAATGCATCCAAATTTCCTCTCCTACCCAACAGTAGCCATTTACCTCCCTATTGGGAGGGGAGGGGAAGGGAAGGCACATTTCCAATGTTCCCTGCCAGATTCCCACAAGGAAACTCAATGACAAAACCAGTGGGAAGTTGGAAGTTGCCTTGGTTCCCATTCATTTTTTGCCCACTGTTGGTCATTTTGTTTCTCCGTTTAGGTAAGGAAATATTTCTGAAACTATGACCAAATAGGATATATGTTGTCTAGTATAATCATACTGGTTGATTAAATGAGGGGTTTTTTTGCCAAGCAACATGAATTCCATTATCCTTCTTACCTATGCAGTCCTTGGCACATCTTCAAATCTGCTGCAAAGTGTTCAGGAATCTTCCATTAGATTTTGAAGGCTTGTTGGAAGCTCCAGTAGCAGAGACAGATCCTGATCCTAAGCAGAAACTGTTTTCACTCAAAGAATCCTGTTTATGGATTCTAACCAATATCTTTTGATGAAGAGAAAATTCTCTCTCTTCCCGTCCCTCTATTTTTCTCTGTCAACTAAATGCATTATCTTAGTCTACATATTTGATTATGATACAGTAGAAAATTCCACCAAAGTTTAGATCTTTGCAGTAATAAGTCTTGTTTGATGGGCCATACAATGGAGCAGCCTTTCTCAATTAGGGTTATATGGGAGAAATTCTACAAGGCATTGTGTGTGGATGTACATACAAAGCTAGTTTTAGATATAATAATTTTTATCAGATATTTTATAATTTTATGCAGAGTGTCCCTGAGACCTGAAAATTATTTCAAGGTCTCATCCAGGGTAGAAGATTTGAGAAAGGCAACAATAGATTTAAAGCTGCTAGTCTATACAAACTGTTTGGTGAACAAGCATGGATAAGATTACATCTCACAAGAGCAGAGTTCTATAATGGGCAGTTTGGGGCACATTCTAAACATTCTCACATTTAAACTTACCAAGCTTGCCATGGAAATGCAGGCATCACCTATCCAGCTATGCCACTTTATATCCACATATCAAACCCACAAGCAGAAAACTAGAAGAGAGGATTACTCAGCCTGATATCTAACCAGAAAAATCTATTTTCTAAAGATATTGTAGATTTATTTTTTAGATAACTTTAGCTAGAATCCCTCAAATCATTCACCGGGATCCAATTTGGATGCAACTATTAGTGGAACCAAGTCCATTGCAAAGATCTAGAAACAGATGTTCAAAATTTAAAAGGATATGTAAACTGTTTATGACAATATGCTAAGAAGAAAAGACAGTGTGTTTTTGTTTCCTGTCAGGTTGGGTTAAAGATGGGAGCAGAGAAGGAGAAGGAGGATGTTATAATAGGGATAAGCAGGAAGTGGGTTGAACAGCACTTCTAAGAGTATACATCTTCCAGTCGGGAAACCCAAACCAGCAACGAAAAGAACGAGGGGGAGGTCCCTTGCTGCCTCTCCTTACATTGAATGCCTCCAGTGATAAATAATGTACAAAAAGATAATCCTTTTCAAATGATGTATCTCCCACAATTATAACACTTCCATGGTTGCTGATTAGAAAGTGTGCTCAAAAATGAGATATGCAACCAAATTATAGTAAAATGTTCTTTAAATGCTCTCCACTCTGTTGGTTTAATGTATGTTTGTAGAATCACTGAAAGTTCACAGAACTCCATAAAACTGTCCTTTTATAATAGATAGATTTTGGAAAGATTTTATACCTGGAAAACTTCATAGTCAACGTTTTCCCTTATGGAAGATTCTTTGGCACCAGAAATTCTGCATTCTGATTTTTTTTTTTAAATCATTTCCTTTCATTTTCATTTAGAATAGTTCCATGATTTAAAGGAAGCTTCAACTAAATGAGTAAATAAAATGTGTACTTATTCAGAAATATTTATTTTACACCAAGTACTTCTTGTATGGTTGCAGAATCTTCTTTGAGTGCCATAAGATCATACCCCCAGATCCCTACTTCCAAGGCTGCCTCTTTGATGCTTGCCATAAGAAAAATATCTCCATGCAATGTTCAGCAGTAGAGATGTATGCTTCTCTCTGTGCCTCTAAAGGTGTTTGTATCGATTGGCGAGGGAAGACCAACGATGAATGCCGTAAGTTCTGGGATATCAGGGCATTTTATTGTGTTTACTAATTATATGATAATTCTTGCCTGACTTCCTTATTTTGAGCTCTTTAAATATATCTTCAGTGAGAATTTGGTGTCGCACTCAAAAAAGTTATATCAAGAGAAAGAGGAGTGCTAGAAAGAACTTCTGATTCATTTATCAATTAAACATTTTCTTAATAAACACAAGAATATTCAACCACCATTCTTCCAGATAAACAATGTATTTCAGTAAAAACTGTGATAGGAAAAGAAGAATGTCCAACTTTGGGCACATTTATACAAAACGTTTGTGTGTTTGTGTGTGTGTGTTTGTGTGTGTGTGTGTGTGTGTGTGTGTGTGTGTGAACAAAACCAAATACAGTTATGTGAAAAATAACAGATGCATGTGGCTGGAATCATTGTTTATTTCTGTTTATTTCAACTATTAATAATTTTTATAATTTTATAATCATATATTTATATTTATATTAATTATAAATTATAATTAATTAATTAATTAATTAATTAATTAATTACACCACCCACCTCACCTAAATGACTTTAGTCTACAGTTTACAGCAGTATAAATGTTCGTGCTGTTTATAAATGATGTTATTGTTGTAGTTCCTGGGGTGTTTAATTTTTCTTGTTTTGTTCCGCATGTGTAACTTACATAATAGGTGGAAAGATAATGAGAAAAGAAGTTGTACTGAAGCTTTCTTCCAAATGCAAAATGTATGAAAAATACATTTCTATATTATGACAAATGTCTTTTGCTTATCATTTATAGCATTTAGCTGTCCTACAGATAAAGTATACAATCCATGTGGCCCCATCAATCCTTCCACTTGTGATAACAGGTAAGTAAAACTCAAAAGAGGTGTGAAAGTTTATAATTGTCATGATGAAATGAACAACATGCTGAATATCCATTTAAACTGCATTTTTTTACATTGAATAACTTTTTATTACATTGAAAAGGAAGAGTAAAGAATCAGCTCATCAGTGAAAATTGCAATATAACAACAATAGGCTAAGAAAGGGACACTTGAAAGAAAAATACATAATCATGTGAAATAATTTTCTCCATTATTTGGACCTTCCCTTTGACTACTGTATTCAGTTCTGGCATCACATTAGATCAGTTAAATTGGAACTGGGCTGAGATGTAGGTAGAATATGAGCAGTGGAATTTAACAGAGGATTAGAAACAAAAACGTAAGGATGAATTACTGAAGGAACACAATATATTTAACCTTGAGGAAAAAGGATTGACTAGGACAAAGGTCCCCAACCCCCGGTCCGTGGACCGGCACCGGTCCACCGCATGCCAGCAACCAGTCCACGCAAACAAATGAAGACCTATCCACGGGATGCAGGCAGCATCCAGAACAACAGCCCCTCTATTCCACCCCCTCTAGTTCTCCATGGGACTAGTCCCTGGTGCCCAAAAGGTTGGGGACCACTGGACTAGGAGTCATGATATCTCTGTTCAAATACCCGATTAAAGCTTTATACAGAAGCAAGTCAAGCTTATTATCTATCATTTCAAAGAATAAGATACAAAACAATGTATTTAAAATACAGAAAGACTCCGTGCTAGGAAAAGTGGTCTTGATAGTACGACCACTTTGAACTAATTACCAAAGAAAATAGTAGGTTCAAGTACAGGTCAGAGAGCTTTTTGTTCGGGGTGCTTTAATTTAGAGTTCTGCACAGAGCAGGGAATTCGATTTAAGAGCCTAAGTAGCCTCTTTTCACTTTATGATTTATGATGCTATTGTTATAATACCCTGTATACCTTTCCTTCCTATGAAAAATCATATGTACCCCCCAAAGTTTGTTCCAAAGAGATGGGAACCACTCTGGACTGCTTTATGAGAACATAGACAGAGAATAAGAATTCTCCTTTCCACTTTATCAGGAAAAATGTATGTTTCTATAGATGCAAGAAGAATTCTATGGATTTATTTCAGTCACGGTTTCATAAATCATAAATTTTGACCTGTGTTAAAAATTAGTCTAGTGCCATGGATTTGAACCTCATGGACTTGAACCTCTTCTTTTATCATGACTAGTTCTCTCACAGGGAAGATAAAATTTGGATGACTAGTGGCACTTACATCAACTTAAGCCATTTCAAAAAAAAGTTATATTGACCTTATGCATCTCATTCCTCCCTTCATTCTTATTAGTTGCACACACTGTGGATGCTCATAATGTTGGGGTGCAGCTACTACTCTAATTTGTGCTTCTCTTTTCATGAAAGTGGTCCTCCGCAGACCGGAATAACAGAAGGTTGCTTCTGTAAAAATGGAACCAAACTCTTCAGTACCCATAAAGATATCTGTGTCTCTGATTGTGGTGAGTGTTCTTATTTAAGAAAAGGGGAGGATACCATAATGCAAAGGGACTGCTGGGCAGACCCGCCAGCTAGATGTCATCTCAGTGATTTCCAGGAAAGAAGATCAAAAATTATTTATTGAAAGGAGATTTTCACTTAAATAATAAATGATGGGTGGATCAAAACCATACACCCAATAACAGGGATATGTGAAACACTTTACTATAGATAAGGAGGCCTTGTCTATATCTACCAACTGCAGTACACAAAACTGAGTAAAAGATCCTGGATAACAGAGACCATTTGTATTAATATTCAAGATGTATAAAAATATGGTCTTCTTTTACACAGATATGGTTTCGTTCAGCAGAGGATTTTTTTCCCCTCCACAAATGCTTTCTAAAAAGTGTGTAACAATCCCTCCATAAGTATCATTTGGCAATGGATCAGCATCCTTACAGAATGAAGAACCTCTATCATTATTTACCCATGAAATCTATAAAATGGGACCACAACTTTCCTTGTGCTATCCAAAGTTCAGGTCACCTGACATTCCTAACATCTTCCTGTTGATTTTTGATCCAGGAGACAAAAGAAATTGCATTAGATTCCAGACACCTCAACAGTCGGTGGCCCTTTGCTTTCTAAACAGGTTACATTTCTATCCTTCCCATTAAATATAGCAGGAGAAGTATGCTGTAGATCCTATCAATTAAAGAATGTCAGCTTGTGGGACCCAGGAAGTGGGCCTTCTCATGTGCTGCTTATTCCATTTGGAACACTATTCCCCCTGAAATTAGAGTGGATCTGACCCTGCTAGCCTTCCAGAAAGCCCTTAAGCCATAGATATGTTTTAGTGTGTCGGGAGAACCCATAATATGGTTATTGCTTTCTTTAGACTGGTTTGGTTTCTCAGCTGCTGCATGTATTGCTGTGTTTTATATAATGTTCTATGTTGTTTTTAAATGTTATAAGCCATAGTCATTAGTAAAAAATATAGTAAAATATTATAAATCAAATAATTTCACTTAGATGTTCTTGGTGCAAAATATCCATTCATATATATACATTTTTTTCCAGGTTGTGTTGGACCAGATGGGTTACCCAAAGCGGTAAGTATTAAAGCTTTTATTGTTTCATGGGTGAAAATCTACAGGTAATAGGAGCTTCATGGATAATAATTTTTTCCAACACTTTTTCAATATTTGGGGAGTTTTAATGAAGCAATAGGAAAAAATTACATCTATTGTCTCAATTTCAGCTAGCAGCAGGAAAACTCACTGTACTAATTGTGCACTCCTTTGCTTGTATATCTCTTTTCACAGCCTGGAGAAACTTGGATTAGCAATTGCCAGAAATGTACTTGCGAGGAATATTCTCTTATGGTACAATGTATTGAAGAACCATGTCCTACCAAACCTACTCCTGTGGAATGTTCTTTTGAAGGGTTTGTACCCATCACAATATTAACCCCTGAAGAAAAGTGCTGTCCTCAAAAGCAATGTGGTAGGTACAATTTTACAATCCAATCCAATTTTACAATCCAATATTGTATTGTAAATGCTCAAGCTAATTCCAGTTTTCATTTTGGAAAGTCCCATTTATTAGATTACACTGGGTGCTTCAGTTTAGCCAATGCTCTGTGTTATAAATCATCTAGTAGCAATAGTACTGAGACTTATATACCACTTCACGGTGCTTTACAGCCCTCTCGCAGTTTACAGAGTCAGCATATTGCCCCCAACAATTTGGGTCCTCATTTTACTGATCTTGGAAGGATGGAAGGCTGAGTCAACCTTGAGCCAGTGAGAATTGAATTGCTAGCAGTCAGCAGAATTATCCTACAATACTGCATTCTAATCATTGTGCCACCGCAGCTCTTAGAGAAGTTAATCTGCCCAATATACAAATTTGCTTCAAAATGAGACAGGCAGCAAATAAATTTAATAATAAATAAAAATATAGGTGTACTTTAGAAGAGAATATATTTAGCTCCGGGTTGAACTGTGAGGTCCCTGGTGTTGTTTGAGCTTGGTGGTATTCTTGCAGATGTTTCATTACCAAGCTAGGTAACTTTCTCAGTGCACTGATGATGTTAACTAGTTTGATACTGAAACATCTGCAAGAAAACCACCAAGCTCAGAGTGCATCAAGACCCTATAGATGTATTTTCTAGTCTCTAGAACAGGGGTAGGCAACCTTGGCTCTTTTATGACTCGCTAATGCTTATAAGATACTGCTTTGCTGCTGAGAAACTCTGCCAATTCTGTTTTTATGATAATGAAGTTAAGCCATTGCAGCAAGGATTATAATTACAGTTATAATATTATAGCTTAATATCTAAAAAGGTTAAATCATGGCAACTGGGCCAAAGTTTATCAAAACTGAGACGTTTCATTACTCATCCAAATAACTTCTTCAGTCAAAATGAAAATTTGGGTAGGCAGAGAGTCATTGGAATAAACCAACTCTTGCCATACAGACTCAATCATCCAAGCCAAAAGTATCTAACAGGCTAAATCATGTCCATTGGACCAAAGTTTATTAAACTATAACTTAATCCACTTTTTGATTTGCTCAACATAAAGTATAGATTAAGTGATACTAATAAATATTAAAATACATTCTATTTAAGTCACTAATTGCTCTTCCTCCTTTTTCTTTTTCATTCTGTAGTGTGCAACACTTCTCACTGTCCCAAATCTATAGAAACCTGTCCACTAGGGTATGAATTAAAGAAGGAAAACTTGCCAGGAGGCTGCTGCATTAATACCACTTGTGGTAAGAATTGTGCCATCTTTAAAAGCAGTCGTTATATTGTTGTAATATTCTCCCCTGCCCCATATTCCAATGCTTGCAAAAACGCAGAAAGCATATTCATCCTCTCTCCTGGAAAGCATTATAGAGGAAATCTCTTTTTGTGGGCTTTTTGTATTTCCTGGTGTAAACTGATATTTAATCTACACAGGTTGATCAAGGGCATCTAAGGTTGTGTAAGGACCCACTTCAACTAACCACCCAAGAAAGCAGAACTGTTGAAACAGGGATTGTCTCAAAAGGATACTGTTATTAGGGGTCAGTGACAGTAGGGAAGTCAAGGCGAGATCTGGGGGAAATCCCGTGAAAATGGTTTAGTTAAGCAAACAATATTCCTCCTCCCACCAAAGTCATAATGTCCATTTGAAATTCAGCTAATCCACAGATAGTATGATGTGCAGGTAACTGGCACAGTTGGCATGCATCTCAAGGTCTTCTCCAGTTTTCCTTTCTCCGTAACCATCTCCCTGATAAGGGAGACACATTCCTTTCTCAAGGATAGAGGCCGGAGAGGGAAAGTAGAAAGCAAAAGTTATCCCAGGTTTTCCCTCCCCTCAGCAGAACGGCAGGCCCCGTTTGGGGTCCTGACAGGTTGAGCCAGTCCTTAATTCCTTATATACATCATTTCTGCTACTAGCCTGTTGGCACCATACAGTTTTAAAAGGACTGGTCTTTTCTTCTACCCTTAAATCATGTAAGGACTGTCCTAAATAAATTGACTGACCTTGCTGAAGATGCTAATTTGTATAAAATACAGATGGATGAAAGCAGTCTACTCCTAATATGTAAAAAAATATATTCTACCCCATCTCTGTTTAATCTCCATTTTTAAACACTTTATCAACATTAACATTTGCAATTCAATGTATTATAATTCATGTCATAGAAATAGCTGTTCTTCTAAATGAAGCATTCATTTTCATTGTCATTTGATCCTACTGCATATTGTTATGTAACAGTAAGAAAAATGCAAATAGGTAAATTCCAGCAGTGGTCTGAAACAGATAATGCAAAATTGCTTAAGCCATACTTGCTCGGAATATTCAGTATCGTACTCCAATATATATGGACTCGTATTTGAGATATGCATTGGGTAAGACCAAATGCTGTAGAATTCCCAAAGATTAAATTACTCAAGTATCCTACTCCGTATTGTGTGCTAAATAAAAAAAAATGTTACTGCACAACTCTTAAAAATAAACCTTTAAAGAGCAAATTGTATCATTTTATGTCATTTTCCTTCTCAGTTAATTTGATCTGTTGAGAACAAATGCTAAGACTAATTATAATATATCTTTGTGTCCCACAGTGAAAGTACCAGGCTGTGTTGTCAATGGAACGTTCTACAGTGTAAGTAATTTCCATGAAAATGAAGAATAGCACTACTTAAACAACTAATTCAAGTACAATATTAACAATGCACTTCTTATAGCAGGCCATTTTTGCTTCTCTGGTTTACTAAAGATTTTCAGGGATGACAATGGTAAAATTCTTCCTTTTGAAAATATAGAATCCTGCTCTTATTTGTATTTGTTCTCAGCCTTATCATTATTTATTTCATTTTTCTATCCTGTTCAACAAATGTAGTTCCCTTGTAGAAATACCATGGAATTAAAAACATTATGCAATCCATGGTTAACCATAAATCACAATATACACTAAGATGAAATCATTCATCAGTATTAAGAGTGAGAACAAAAGCAGTCATAATACAGCACTCAAAATCACAAGACCATAATAAAAATAAAAGCCAAATAGTGTGAGAACTGTTTTTTTAAAAAATAATAATAAAAAGATCGTCACCTGGCATCTTAAAGATTAAAACACAGTATTGAGCATGGCTCTTTCTGAAGAGCATATTACAAGTAGGTTGACTGATACAAATAAACTTTTTTCTTATGTTCAACACAACTTCCTTTATGAGGTGTTGTTTACTGTTATTTGGATATTAGCTCTATTGTAAACATCTCTTTCACTATCAGTAAAGCACACACTGTATTTCCAGGTATGAAATTAAGTTAAAATTATTTATTACTGTTTCACTTTTCTTCTTCTTCAGCCTGGGGCAGTCGTACCAGGAGGATTATGTGAATCATGCAGATGCTCTGAAAAGGAAGATCTAGAAAGCAACGTAGAGTGTGTGTCTCAAACATGTGACAAAAGATGCCCGCCGGTAAGCCACATTGTTCTTTTTTTAAAAAAAAAAAATTCCATGGCTTTGAAATTCTCTGAATCTATCCATTTACTCACTACTTCTAAAAAAAGGATCTGTGGTTTTATGAATTTTTCCCATTTTTTGAACTACAGGGTCATGAATACCAGGAAGTATCTGGAAAATGTTGTGGTCAATGTAGGCAGTTTGCTTGTGTTGTGACACTGGATTCCTATCCTGTCAAGGTGCTCAAGGTAACTAACAATTTTGCTAACTATATTATTCATCAAAATCAAGTTTAATCCACTCATATAACTAATACCGACCCAATTTTACAATCTTTTTTGTAACAGCTGTTAAACGAACACCAAGGTCAATAGGTGGACCAATTGTTCGCTATGGGTCATTTTGGCCGAAAATAAAAAATAAATGCCAGCTTTTGGCAAAACCAAATACAGTCACATGATTGCAGGATGCTGCAAATGGCCATGTATGGAGGCCAGTTGCCAAACACTTAAAGTGCAATCATATAATTGTGGAGGAAGCCCAGCCGTCAAAACTTTGAATGCCAATCGTTAGTAACTTTTGAGGGTCTATTGTAACTTTGAATGGTCACTAAGTGCCCAGACGTAAGTTGAGGACTCCCTGTACTGAGTTCTTAATAAGGTACATCCCTTTTTTAGGATTCCCTGGATGGACAGCCATAACTTAACCCTAGGGCCCAGGCCAAACTTCCATTGTTGGTGGGCATACCAAGCAACTGTTAGCATCAGTGCTGTTTTTGTAAAAAAAAAAAAAAAAGTGCCGGAACTCACACATGTCATACAGCCCGCCTTGCCTACCCTACAAGGTTCCATCCAAAAAAGGTGCCGGAACTCCGTTCTGGGCGTTCTATGAGAAAAAAAGCCCTGGTTAGCATCAAACTACATATGTGCCAATTTAACAAATCACATTGAACAGAGTTGAGGAATGTTAGGATCCATCCAGTTGTTGTATCCCCCAGCTGTTCAAAATTTTCACATCTATTATTTCGTATTTTGAGGACTCCTCTTACTGAACTGCATGCCACCCTCCTCTATCCCAATCCCAATTCTGTTCTCTAAGAAATTAAGGAATTTATGATCATGAACTATTCTTATGTTAACTTCTAAAACAAATAAATAACTACCATTGTGTCTATTTTCAGCCAGGAGAAGTTTGGCACTCATCAGAAAACAATTGTACTTCATATGAATGTGATCTTATTGAGGACCAATATGTTCTCGTCACTATCAAGAAAGCCTGCCCTCTCTTTGAGCCAAATGAATGCCGGCCTGTAAGTTTCATTGATCCAACAGTCTTTTATTTTATTATATCTGATTCTATGCAATAAAAGTCAATTTTATCAAAAGATTAAGTTAGAATTGGATTTATTATGGAAGCTTTACAACTGAACTATATCAGTTGAATTTAAGCAAAAGCTTCAGCCATAATCTGACATTCTGTTCCTAAAATACATTGTGATCTAAAAAGCTCTATAAAACTGTAAAATTGGTTGGCATTGTCAGTAATATCTGGCTTTACTGCACTAAAGGTGATAATATATTCAAAGCAAAGTGAATACTGAGATAAAGAATTAGTGGGAAAGCTTTTGTTGTTGTTTCATATATAATATTTATAGATGGAGTAGATGCATCAAGATATATAATATCCTTTTAGGACTATCACCAAATATTGTTGTTTTGTTTTTGTTTGTATTCCTCTGGAAGTTCTAATCCTACATGATACCTCTATGGGGAGAAATGATGGTTTTAACATCATAAATTAAAGTCTGAATTATTTCATTTTTTATAGGAGGATGTGGTATTAACTGAGGATGGGTGTTGCAGGTTGTGCAGACCTAAACGTAAGTTATGCAAGCTACATTAGCATAAGTGAAAAAAACTCAGATTCGTATCAGCCATAAAGCCAATTTTTGTGTTGCTATAGATTCTAGCCTTTCAGATGGCATTGGACTCCAATTCTATTCAAGCCCAATTGTTATAGTTGATTGGCAAAGTTGCTAGGATTTGTAGTCACAGAATTCCCTACAGAAACAAACTGATGTGGTTATCATCCACTTGTCACATCCAAAGCACACATAGATACTATCTTACATGCACACATTATACAGCAATCGTCAACTTACAACAGTAATTTAGTGACCGTTCAAAATTAAAACAGCACTGAAAAAAGTGACTTATGACCATTTTTCACATTTACGACTGTTGCAGCATTCCCACAGTGAATTTATCAAAATTCAGACACTTGGCAACTGATTCACACTTATGACTGTTGCTGTGTCCTGGGGGTCATGTGATCACTTTTTGCGACCTTTTAACAAGCAAAGTCAATGGGGAAGCCAGATTCACTTAATAACCATGTTACTACTAACTTAACAACTGCAATGGTTCACTTAATAACTGTGGCAAGAAAGGTTGTCAAGTGGGGCAAAATTCACTTAAGAACTGTCTTGCTTAGCAACAGAAATTTTGGGCTCAGTTGTGGTCGTAAGTTGAGGACCATCTGTACATGTACGCTTTCTTTTATTTTTTTGTTTGTTTGTTTTATATTTTGATCAGCGACTCAAGATTTGTTTTTACTTTTTCTTCCTCTTTCAGAAGAAAAACACTGTACACCAGCAAATATCACCAAAATAATAAAACACAATGATTGTAAAGCTTCGTCACCTATTGAAGTAACATACTGTGAAGGCCAATGTGAGAGTTTTTCAAAGTAAGTAACCTATAATTTTATTGCATGTTGGCAGCTCATTGTGAAATGACTGTTTAGAAAATCTTCACATGCCATGAGATATGAATGCAAAGAACCTATCTAAGATCTGGTTCTTAAGATATCTCTGCAAAGTAGTCCAGATGACATTTTACCTTCATCTTTCCAAAATCTGAAATGCAAATTCAGCTAAGACTCAATTCCATTGCTGGTGCATTGCCTATTATCTTAAATTATTCCAAATGAAGATAAAATTCTATTTAAGGCCTTTTTAGATAGATCAGGGTGCAGGCCTAGCTCCCGTTCCCTGAGGGAAAGAAATTGGCAAATGATCAAGAAATGGAAGATGTGGTGTCTGGCAGATGTCAAAGAAAAGGTAGAAGCAAGCAGGTGGGTGTGAGGAGAGAGTGGCAACAATGAACAAGGAGGAGGGAAGAAAAACGCAATGATGGCCCATCAACACTAATAATCTGAAGGACCCCAAAACTGATTCCAGCCCTGAAGGTATTCCATTGATAGAGATACTTTAGGTCAGTATCTCTATCTCCAACAGTGGTGGGATTCAAATATGTGAACAACCGGTTCTCTGTGTAGATGCCACTTCCAGAAGTCCATTCTGGGCCTGGGCAACAGAAAATTAGCTTCTGGATCTGCCGAAGTGGTGCAAACCGGATGAATCCCACCACTGGTCTCCAACCTTGACAACTTTAAGACTTGTGGACTTCAACTCCCACAACTCCTCAGCCAGCCATGCTGTGTGAGGAATTCTGGGAGTTGAAATCCACAAGTCATAGAGTTGCCAAAATTGGAGAGCCCTGCTGTAGGTTATAATGTTTTGACTGCCCAAAGCTATGCAGATATGCCAATTGAAAAGACAAAAATCTGATGAAACCATATAATGGTTGGTGAGGGGTGGTGGACTTCATCCTGCAGTAGCTTATCTCAACCTCAATTTGCTTTCATCATTCAGGTATTCATATGAAGCAAGCATGATGGATCATACATGCAACTGTTGTCAAGAGCAAAAGACTACGAAGAAGTATGTGACCTTGATTTGCCCCGATGGTTCCACCGTGGATTATTCTTACCTCCATGTTGATGAGTGTGAGTGTGTCAAGAGTAAATGCAACATTGGGCCCACTCCCACACCACATCAGCAGGAACAGCAGCAAGAGGTGTCCATGTTCCCACCAGACCAGCAGCAGCAGCAACAGCAGCAGCAGCAGCAGGAACAGCTGCAACAAAAGAAGCCATAAGAATAGAAACTGCAGCAGGAATGAAAGGGACAATCGAGACCAGTCTAAACATTTTCAAAAAGTGACCCAGAATTGAATAAAAGTTAAATTGTAATAAAACATAAAAGTTATGCTCAAGCAACATTCAACCAAATATTTCCTCTAGCTACTCTTCAAGAAAAGATTTTCTCTTCTGCATGCCAAGCATTTTGAAATGTTCTGACCTTTTCTTGGGTGTAGACTCAACTGAGACTATATGACTAAGTTGAAAAAAAAAACTTTGGGGATGGAAGGGAAAAGGGCTTGGTGTCGATAATTGGAGTCGGGGGTGAAGAAATAAAAAGGATGTATTGGTTTGGTTTGGGATCTTCTCTTGAGAAGCAACAATTCCTGCATTAAGTGACAGGTAGTACCATTTTAATTAAGACTGGTGGAGTTTTTAACCACTAGCCGACAGAAGCTAGACAAGATCTAAAAACTTTGAGTTGTGACAAGAACATTGGCTGGTATTTGCTAAAATGACAAGTGAAGCTTTCAGTTCCCTGGCATAATTTTTCTTACTGTGCTTCCAAATTTCTTTTTCTATAAACTTCATTTTTGCCTACTCTTTCCAAATATGAGACAGGCTATAATGATGTGAGATTCTTTGTAGATTTGTTACTATTGCAACAAGTGGGGGGGAAACCCGTGAATTGTGATTGCTGCTGAAGAAGACTGTTTACATGATACCATCAGCATAGAAGTTGTAGGAGGATCTGGATTATTTTTGTAATTGTTTACAGAATGGACTAATATATGTATATGCACACCAAAAGGTCATTGAAGAATTTTTGTAAACCGAAGTAATAAATAACAATAATATAACTTAGAATTTCTATTCTGAGTTAGTGAATTGTTTTTGAACATTTAATTACTATTTATTTGTTTCCAGAAAATAGATTTTCAGGGATATTTTCTTCTGAATAAAGGCTCTACTGTCTGCCACTAATGCCTGGTTGAGGGAAAATTTCATCTTTTATATTTGTTTTTTGTTTCTCAACAACTAAATGATTAATAAAATTTCAACATTTTGCAGAGGATATGCTTCTTGTATGTGTGTCATATGCGCCATACCAAATCAGTATCTCATTTAACTTTATTAGTAATATACTTTAAATAGCCAAAGAGCACATTTGTTTGCGTAACAATGTTATTCATATTGTGGCATTAATAATTCTATTTTGCATTGCTTAATATAGAAATTACCATCATCCCCCAACTTCTGTGCTGCCTCATTGGAGTGGTGAGAAGGGGGGGCTCTTCCTGAGAGAGGTAAGCAAAGAACACAGGGAGTACAGTCCAAGAGTACAAGTAATCCTCAACTTACAGTAATTGAGCCAGAATTACAGCTATTAAATGGGTAACCATGTGACTACAGGATTCATTAAGTGAACACCATAGTCACTTAAGAAATCTATTTTATTCAATTGGCTTTTTTTCCCTGCAAACTGGGAATAAATGCCAAAAACCAATAAAAAACATCAAAAATTGTGGTCATGCGACTGGAAGTTACTGCTAATGGCTGTAAACAGGAGCCAAATGTGAGCCAGTTGCCAAGCATCCAAAATCTGGATTATCAGGTTGAGGCATGTGGCTGATGGAACTTCAAAACTGTGTCATAAGTACCTTTTGAGGGATCTGTTATAATTTCAAACAGTCGCTAAGCGACCAGTCATTAAGCAAGGACTACCTGTATATACTCTCAATGAAGATCATTCCAGATACCCAGCTAAAGCAAGCAGGCGCCACCATTGAGCAGTGGTGATATAGGAAGATGCCAGAGGTAGATGATCACTTTAGTGATAATGGCAAAGACTTTGATTCATATTGCGTGGGAAGGCAAAGAGAAACCCTTCCTGTATTTTTACCAAGAAAATCACATGGATAGAAATTTTATTTTATTAATCAAATTTATATGGCCACCCAATGAAGGTGATTGATGACATAGTGCCAGATGATGAGCCCCTCAGGTTGGATGGCACTCATATGCTACTGAGGAAGAGCAGAGGATCTTTCACTACTGGTGTTTATGACATGGCTAGATTAAAGGCTTTGGGACATCTAGTGGCTGAAGTTGCCACACAGGAAAAGAAAATCTGAAACAGCAACAGACAGAATTACACTAGGGGCATGAACTGTAAGAAGCACAGGAAAGCTCAACACGGTGAAAGATGAAATGAAACAATTACAAATTGACATATTTGGCACCAGCAAATTGAGAGGGACTGAGATGGAGCATTTTCATTCAGAAGATCACACTCTTTATTACTCGACACATGAAAAACAAAGAAGAAACGGTCTTGCTTTTATGGTGAGGAAGGAGATAGTATGAACAGTACTTAGCTAGAATGCAATCAGTGATGAAATAAAATCGATTCAACTTTGTGGACAATCCTTTAATAGAGGATCAATCAATATAGAAGTGATCAACTTCTTTTTCTTCTGCATCAGTGAAATCAATAGAACATTCAAGCAAGATGTGCTGCTTGTGCTTGGAAACTGGAGTGCCAAAATTGGAAACATGAAAGAAGAAAATATAGTTGGATTCTACGGCTTAGGAAACCAAAATGAAGC